GCTAATCAGACCTCCTTCTGCTTTCCTGATGCTGCGCATTGGATTGAGAGACTTCCTTGGCCTTGTGAGTTCCTACCACTTACCAGCAGTACAAATCTCTTGGTCTTCCAGCTGCTCCTCTTGGACTGATCTCCTGCTGAGGACCCTGGAAATTCTCCCCACCTCAGCACATCTCTCAGACTGTCTTTCGGACTCTGACAGGTCATTTCAATAGCCTTTTCTGTATTTTTACTTTTCAATGACACAGCTATACTTACAGATATATGGCATTTACGCGAGAGCTCTGCTCCTCCAAGCAGCCTTCCATGGTTTTCTTCTTCTGGGTGAAGGATGAGGCCATACCCACAGTCTGTTAGAAACCTCTGCGGTCCCTTAGAACCGGGCGGCATCAGAAACAAAAAATGAACCTTCTAATTCTCCCGTTTTTTGCTGTGTCACCATGTTTTTACAGCCTTTCACTGCTTTGGAGTTGTAACTTTATGATGTTGACTTTGCTCGGGGGCCCCATGCAGCATCATTGATTGCTCGAGTGTAAACAAGCGCTGCTTCTCCAGGAGTCAGAGTCCATCCTGGTGTGAAGAGGAGGAGAAACCAGCCTTGCCTGGCTCGCAACCCAGCCTCTTCACATGCTCTACTGCTGTCCCCAGGCCTCTGGAAGGGACCAGAGACCAGCTCCCAAGAGGAGAGTCATACAGTTCTTATGCTCTGAAACATTCTTGCATGGTCTACACCTTAAGATGAGCGTGAAGGTCCTTGTGTACACCCCTCTCCCATAACCCCTCGGACAGCCATGTTTCCCACATGGATGCTTTCCATCTCACCACACTGAGAAGACTTTTCCAAGATGCAGTCACACCTCCTCCGCTATCAGTTGCTGGAAGCCCAGGTGTGCTGGGTTTCATCTAGATGTTTGCACAAAGGGCAACGACAGCACTCCTTGCAGAGGCACTGAGAAACCAATTCTTCTTTGCCAGCCCGGGGAATGGGTGTGTGGCACAATTAGTTTTAGTACATTTAATCTACTGTGTAAGTAAGAAAAAGCACATTACTATTATCAAGCCTATTTCCTTCACGGTGTAGTCAGGGTTGTTTCAACCCATCACATATTACTCACTTGCTGAAGAATCAATAGATAGTGATGAATGAACCGCTAATCCAGGGGTGGGGTGAGACCTACCCAGCCCTGTCACTGCTTCTGTGTGAAGCTGGGCAGGTCACGTTCCCCCTCCCTAACTTGTTTTCTTTTTGATGGACAGGAATAGTGACACCCCACTGTGAATGGATTGTGTAGGGACTGAAGGTGAGAGCCTGAGCTCCCAAGTGAGGTGAGGTGGTCCCAAGTAAGGCTTCCCACGGTCCTTTTTCATAGCTTTGGTGTTTTCCCAGTGCACTGTTCCAGGTTACAACAGCTTTATCTCGGAGCTGGCCTTGAGCCCAGGCACCCAAACCGCTGGCAGCAGAGGAAGCAGATGCAAAGCACCCATGACCCTGGCAGAGCAAACAGTGTCTTAACACGAGAAGAAACCAAGGCTGAGGCAAGTTTCCAAACAGCCTCTGCCCAGTGGAGAGGACGGCTACAGGAACTGCTGGGTCTCTTAAGGTCCAGATGAATCTGTGGGATTCCACTTGTGGCTACATCAGGCAGAGAGCAAAGGCATTTCTCCTTTTCCAAACTTACAGTGGGTTCTCTGGTCCAGACTTCAGAGAATTCCACCAAAGTCCTTGAGATGTGGTTTCCTCTAAGCAAAGCAGTTCTGAAGACCTCAAACCAGCTCACTGGAGGCACAGAGATTTAGATGGAAGCTGGGCTGGATGCTTAGTGCTGAAGGGAGTCCAACACAATGCCAAGAGAGGCACAAAGAGCACAAGACACCTTCACTCCCTGCATTCAAGCACCAGACCGAGGGACAAGTGGGTAGAGCAGGATGGGAGGACTCTACTTATGAGAGAGAGTGCAGAGGAGACAATTTTCCTTTAGTGGTGCTGGGCTTGGGCAGGTGGAGGGGCAGAGCCACCTCCCTGCCCAGAACAACCATCCCCATCACCACTGAGCTGGTGGTGGAAGCCTGCTCAAGCCCAGGCTGGCCAGGCCATGGGAAGAGATGGGGAGGACAGACAACCAAGCCTTCTGCTTCCCCTTCCAACCAGAGAGCTTAAAAAATGCTGACCAATGTACTTTTCATAGTCTGAGTATAGACAGAGCACAACCGATTTGGACTGAGTTTCAGGGCCCATGAGCTTGATTCAGTTGCCCAAAGACAGACAATGGCCCACCGACAATGGAATTCCTGTAAGACTGGACAGTTTTAGGGCTTGTCAGGAAAGGTACATGGAGAAAGCATGGAGGCAGAGGCTTCCTTGCAAAGTCTCTGTCTACTGGCATCTCTTTAAGAGGTAGCGCAACAAGCTCCGGCTGGGTCACACCTCATGGGTTTCACAGGAGCTGGCTTCTCATTGCAAGGAAGGAGAAAGAAAACCAAAGGTGGTTTGGGTCCTGCCTACTCTGCCCTCAGCTTGCAGAGGCCACACAGCAGTTCCCTGCAGCAGTCACCCCACGCAGCTTGAGAACTCTCCTGGACACAACCACCATCTGGTCTAAGGGGTGGTCAAGCGTGTCCATCACGGTAGGACAACAGTGCCCACCAAGGTCAGAAGGGGCTGAGGGCCACATGCCAGCAAACAGGTGGAACATGCTCGTATTTACATGCTCAAGCACTCCAAAATTTGGTAATACCAGAACCAGGCTTTACCAGGCAGCAGGAACTTACCAATGCCCGTTTGTGGTAGAGAAAATAAAACACTTGGGTTTATTTATATGCAACACTTGCAGTTGTATTTCTCTTTATTACCTTCTAGAAGCCTCACAACATTTAACTAACAAGGTTTTCAAAAAATTTATTATCCCCTATTTTGTGGATGGGGAACTGAAGCACAAAAGTGGGTCAAGCGACGTCCACATTGGGAAGTGTTCGGTTACAGATGCTCGGAGCTGGCCTTTTTCCACAGTTCACATTTATATTCAGAACAGGCTCCTGCTGACTTCAGCTGGGACCGCGCATTCACTGTTTCTGCACAGTAGGTTGCACGGGATCCCCGTATCCAAGGCTTTTTGGAACAAGCACCTAGGAAGAGCTCGTTAGTATAATCGACCTGCAGTACGCAAGGTCTGTGTGGAATAGGTGGCCGAAACCCCACTCCTCGGAGGGGTCCACCATGACCGTTTGTGTCCTCATTTGCGACCCATCTGCCAATCTCTGCAACCGATGGAGCAGCCCTTCTGGTGAAAAGTCACCTAATTAACAGCTTCAGCGCAGAACGAGGCAGAAAAAGGGAGAATGAAACCTTTAACCCAAATGTACGCCACAGATGTCTTCAGCTTCTGAGTGCTTATTGGCATAATCAAAGACCTATTTCTAGTAAATTCCAATTTCTATATCATTCTTCAAAATGAAAAGGCTCTCAAGGCATTTTTATATCCCAAGGCAAACTGGGGAGCAGAGGCTCAGCCATGTAGTTGGGCTGCAGTGGAGCAGGATAAAGTCACGCGAGGACAAATCACCTCATGCTATCATGAGATCGATTTCATTATTTATTTTCTGATTTACTTAGGGGTATCAGAGATGTTTTGTCTCGTGTTTGTCAAACAAGGCTGAAAAAAAAAAAAACCAATAGAAATAATCACACTTATATAAATCAGAATTGCTCAGTCATTACTTCACTGTTGAGCTCCTGGGTGTGGCTCACCATAAGGTGATTTTAATGTTGATTGTGCATCTGGTTTTCCATATAAGACCTATAAGTGAGACATCAGCACCCACCTCAGGGCTGGCAGCAGAGCTGGTACCTGCAGGTCCCCTCCAGACACTGTCCTCCAGCTGACGCTGATGATCTCTTTCCTGTTCGTCCTTTCCCCTTATGCCCCATTTCCCCATCCCTAGATGCTACCAAACCTTTTCCTTGCTTTCCTCTTTTCCATGCCTTTGGTTCCAGCTGCCGAACCAGGTCCCTGACACTCATCAGCAAAGGCAACAAGAAAAGTCCCCACAAACACCTCCACAGAATTGGGTTGGAAGGAACCTTAAAGCCCCCCCAGTGCCACCCCCTGCCCTGGGCAGGGACACCAGGTTGCTCCAAGCTCCCTCCAACCTGCCCTTGATCCCCTCCAGGGATGGGACAGCCACAGCTTCTCTGGCCAACCTGGGCCAGGCTCTCCCCACCCTCCCACCAAACAAGTTCTTCCCCACAGCTCAGCTCCATCTCCCCTCTTGCAGGGTCAAACCCTTCTCCCTCCTCCTCCTAGAGCTCACCTCCCTGATCCAGAGTCCCTCCCCAGCTTTCCTGGAGCCCCTTGAGGGACTGGAAAGGGCTCCAAGGTCTCCCGGGAGCCTTCTCTTCTCCAGGCTGAACCCCCCAACTCTCTCAGCCCCCCCTCCCAGCAGAGGGGCTCCAGCCCTCCCAGCATCTCCGGGACCTCCTCTGGTCCCCTCCACCAGGTCCATGTCCATCCCCACACTGCAGCCACCTTACTCAGCTTCTCCCATCTGATCACCACAGAGAGACCCAAAACCAGGTGCGTTTCTTGGGGGTGGGAACAGATGCAGCTGGGAAGGATTTGGTACCTCCCTGATGGAATTGCTGGGATTTGGGGGTTTTTTTATTCCTCCCTCTATCTAGGGGGAAAAGTCGCATTGCTGTGCCACAGCTGCTGAAAGCACCACCCCAGAAACGCTGTGAGCCTTCCCCCCCCCCTGCACCCTAGCCTTGGGAAGAGGTGGGGGTCCCCTCCAGCTCCCCCCCTACACCCCCGAGCGCCGGGGGGAAGGGTGGGGGGCACTGGGATGGGGATGCGGCCCGTGTGTTCCCACTTAATATGAGATGGGAAGGAAAAAAATCCACACGGGTACCCCCTACACCGCTCCCGCCGTTCGGGACAAACCCCTCCCGGGCAGCCCGGGGCCGGGGGGGCGGTGTCGGGTCGGTCCCGCCCCGCGGAGGCGGGGGGAGGGGGGGCGGTCGGCGATGGCGGCGGTGCGGGCACGGGCGGTGCTGCTGACCGGCTCCAACCGCGGCATCGGGCTGGAGCTGGTGAAGCAGCTCCTGGGGACACCGCGACCGCCAGCCTGGATCTTCGCCACCTGCCGGGACCCCGAGGGGCCGCGGGCGCAGGTCCGTGCGGGGCTGTGCGGGATTTGGGGGGGGCGGGGAGGAGGGTGCCGTCAGGACGCGCTGGGTCCGCTTCACCCGCGGGAAAAGGGCGTTGCGGTGGCGGGGAGCGGGGTGTTGGCACCGGGTCCTCTCCCCCTGTGGAAGCCCTCTCCCCCTGTGGAAGCCCTCTCCTCGAGGGTCGCCCCGGTGAAGAAGTGCCAAGGGCAAGGTCTTGCTCCTTGGATGGGGGCCACCCCAAGCACCAATCCAGGCTGGGCGGGGAATGGCTGGAGAGCAGCCCTGGGGAGAAGGACTTGGGGGGGTCGGTGGAGGAGAAGCTCCACACGCCCCGGCAACCTGCGCTGGAGCCCAGAAACGCCCCGCACCCTGGGCTGCATCCCCAGCCCCGTGGCCAGCAGGGAGAGGGATGGATGGGGGGGATTCTGCCCCTCTGCTCCGCTCTGGGGAGACCCCCCCCAGTGCTGCCTCCAGCTCTGGGGCCACCAACAGCAGAAGGACATGGAGCTGTTGGAGCGGGGCCAGAGGAGGCCACAGAGATGCTGGGAGGGCTGGAGCCCCTCTGCTGGGAGGGGGGGCTGAGAGAGTTGGGGGGGTTCAGCCTGGAGAAGAGAAGGCTCCGGGGAGACCTTCCAGCCCCTTCCAGTCCCTCAGGGGGCTCCAGGAAAGCTGGGGAGGGACTCTGGATCAGGGAGGGGAGCCCTAGGAGGAGGGGGAAGGGTTTGACCCTGCAAGAGGGGAGATGGAGCTGAGCTGTGGGGAAGAACTTGTTTGGTGGGAGGGTGGTGAGAGCCTGGCCCAGGTTGCCCCGAGAAGCTGTGGCTGCCCCATCCCTGGAGGGGTTCAAGGGCAGGTTGGAGGGGGCTTGGAGCACCCTGGTGTGGTGGGAGGTGTCCCTGCCCAGGGCAGGGGGTGGCACTGGGGGGGCTTTAAGTTCCCTTCCAACCAAAACGATCCCGTGTTTCTATGACTCTAAGACTAAGCTGTGCCGCCTTAAATACGCGCTGCTGGTCTCTTGGAGGCTGCATTGGCTGCTCCCAGTGCCTTCACCTGTGCGACACTTGCAGGGCAGCAGCTTGCACACCCTGGGGTCTGAGCAGGGTTTTACGGGGTGGTTGTGTCTGGCTGAGCTGGTGGGAATGGCAGTGGTACATCTCTGTGATGTGTTACGGGTCTCTGCACAGTCGGGGTGATCCTTGGAGCTGCAGGGTCATCCTTCTGCTGCTTCCCGCTTCAGGAAAATGGGAGAGACACCTGCTGCTCCAGGGGGAAATCACAGGAGCAAAGCATCGTCGTGCTTCCAGCTTTCCTTAGGTCCAGCTCTGGTTTTCCTCTGCACTGAAATCCCAGCAGGGAGCCACTTGTGCTCTGATAGATCCTGCCTCCAGCTTGGCTGTGTGCAGGGATCAAGCTTCAGGAAGCCCTTGAGATGCTTCTTCAGGAAGCCCTTGAGATGCTTCTCATGTGCTCGCTGCCAGCGTTATTCTGGCTCAGGAGTGATCCCGGTGGTGTGCTCGCTGCCGGCGTTATTCTGGCTCAGGAGTGATCCCGGTGCCATGAGACTCCTCCTGCTGCTGGTGCCCAAGCTGGCTGGGTCAAAGCTAGCTTGGGTCCCTTATTTTTGCTCTGTTCTTCTCCCCCACAACTTGCTGGATTCAGGCAATGGTGAGATCAGAGGACTTTTTGCAGGGTTGGACCTGGAGCCAGTTTCGCCCCAAGGTGGCCCATGCTCATCGCTGTCAACCATGGGATGCCTCTCTAAGCCTTGTCCAGCTGTGGGAGGGTGAGGGCAGCGTCTTCAGGGTGTTGCTGCTGAAATCTGGGACCACAGGAGACCAAGGGCAGAGTGACCCTCCGTCAGGCTGGTGCCACATGGCTCTTCCTGTCCCTTTGTGCCTGGATCAGGTGTTGGTGTGGACTGCTGGGATGGTGCAAGGCTGTAGAGGTCAGCAGCTGGGCACAGGAGGGGAGGAGAAACATCTGTTGGCCATCACAAACCATTTAGATGGATTTTCCATCATTTCCTGTGCCCAGGGGTAATGTGGGAACATGGGGCCTGGTGGGGAAGCTCAGAGGTAACTGAAGGTGGACTGCAGCCAGTGCTAGCAGCTCTCCATGTTGGTAGCATGAGTCCCTTCACCCACCAATTTGCATTTCTCCTGTAGCATTCTCTGTGGGCTTGTTTCTAAGAGGCTTTTAGTTCTAAAAGCAATCATTTTGGACATGCTGAATGTGGTGTTTTGGTTTCTGTTGTCTAAAACCTGCTGTAGTTGAAGAAGGTTCAAAGCAAAGACCTGCTAGGAACCATAAAGTTGAATGGTTCCTTTTTTGGAAAGGGCTTCTGAATCTTCTGTATTTGGTGAAAATAATCAATAAAAACATGCAGAGGGGTTCATTTCACTTGAGTGGATGAGTGGTAGTGTCCAGAGCAGAGCAGACCCTGGGATTGGGCTATTTGGATCCAGATGTGACGTCCCCAGACGTCAAATCTGATGTTGACATTCACAGCTATTCCTCCTCCATCACATCTCCAGCTGCCTCTGGGAAACGTTTCTGGCCATATTCCCGCCCAGTTTGCATAATTTCTGGGTGAGCTGGTCTTTAACTGTTTGCTGTCATCCTTTGCTGTGGCTCTTGCTGGGTTGTGTGTGTAGGCCCAACAGCCTTTGGGAGAGTGGCCATAGTATCTTGCGGTTGTGGCCGTGTCACACTCTGAGCACGTGCACGTTGTTTTGTGGACCCTAGAAGAAGCTCACGTGGTGAGACAGGTCCCTGGTCCAGCCATTCACAAGTGCTGAGTAACATCTGAAAGATGCTTTCCTCGGGGTGGACCATCGCTGGTGCCCTGGGATCATGCTTGGCATCACCTCTGCCTCGTGCTGATTGTTTTCATGTCTCTCTTTGTAGGAGTTGAGAGATCTGGCCTCCAAACACCCAAACCTGGTTCTCGTGAAGCTGGGTAGGTGCACTCTGCTGCCGAGATAGTAAATTTGTGACTGCCAGCCACGCTTGCCCCGTTTCTCCTTCCCTCCCTCCCTGCCTTCAGGCTCTACATGGGGATCCAGTTCTTCAGAACTGCTTCAAGTCCTGCTGTGAAAAGCCCAGCTTCTCCAGACCTGTCTCAGCCCCAATATCCTGTTCCCTGGAGCCTTCTTGCCCTTGGCTGCAGGACCAGGAGGTTCTTGAGACCCATCCTGGGCAGTGTCCTGCTCCTGCAGCTGAGTGGCTGTGTCCTTGCTGTGCTGTGCAGCTGAGCTGCCATCATCTGAAGTCCCAGGCGAGACTGGGAGGCCTCCTCCTGGAAAGCAGTAGGAAGCCCGTGGAAACACTGTGTGATTGTCCCAGAGCCTGGGTAGGAGCTGTAGGACCTTGTAGAGCCACCCCCCAGCAGGTCCCAGCACAGCCCCCATGGGGACAATTTCCACCCCAAGACCACTCCGGGTGCTCCAGAGCTTCCTCAGGGATGGACTTTCTGCCCTGAGAGGAGGCCATGACTGCTGGTGCCTGACAACAGCGTGGGAGTCAGAGCAGCGCTTTGCCACCACGGGGCTGTCCCCAGAGTGGCTTTGCCTGGTGGGCTGCCCCAGGCCAGGGTCTTTCAGTTCCTAGTCGTGGGGGACCCTGAGGATGGCGAAGGAGGCAGTTTTGGGATGAGTTATGCCTTGTGGGAGCCGGGTTGCTCTGAGCTGGTTGCACAGCACCATCTGGTGCCCACAGATGGAAGGCCACACAGGTCAGGGTGCATAGCTGTTCCTCAGCATCTTCACCTCCTTCTTCTCCCCACCTCCCCCGTGTGGACCCCGTGGCTCTCAAACTTCTCTTCCACTGCAGATGTTGCAAATCCCTCGGCTATTACCGATGCAGTGAAGGTCGTGGAGGGAAAGCTGAACGGCGCCGGCTTGAACCTGCTGATAAACAACGCTGGCATCTACACCCCGACGGCGTCGCTGGAGACGGTCGACTCTGAAGACATGATAAGGACGTACAAGACCAATGCGGTGGGGCCACTGCTGATGGCCCAGGTATGGATGAAGCTCTGGAGATGGAGCTCACCATGGAGGGAGAATTTAGCCCAGTATGAGGGTAGCCCAGGCTTAGCCTGGCCACCACCCATCTGTGGTGATGATGGAGATCTCAGAGGGCTTTGCCAAGTTTCCCAGGGCTGCAGGAGGGAGGGGGCCCAAAAGCTATATAGCCTGCCTACGTTGTGCTGGGCTAACCGGGACCAGGCAGGACCACTGCAGCAAAACACCAGGGCTCTCTTGGCTTCCTACTGTTCCTCCTCATCCTCCCTGTTGCAGTTGCTGTAAGCAGGGCTGGCTCGAGGCGTCCCACAAGGTTGCTTCTCCCCAGGCATTCCTGCCCCTGTTGAAGAAGGCTGCCCGGGAGAGCACGGAGAAGGGACTGAGTTGCAACAAGGCAGCCATCATCAACATCTCCACTGTCATGGGGTCCATTGAGAAAACTCCTGAGTCCTTCTTCAAGCCTGTCATCTCCTACCGCTGCAGCAAGGTATGGAGACCGGGAACCTGCCCGTGCTCCTGAGCTCACTGGGAGTCAGAGCTGTCCCTGAGATGGAGGGACTTACCCGTGCTGGTCACTGAGATCCCTGAGCATCTCCATGCCCAGCTGGTGCCCACCTAGGCCAGATGCATACCATCTCTTGAAGACCTGGCATTGCCTTTTCTCCTTTGCCATGAGGCGGTGGTGGGATGGGAACTGAGTGTGTGGAGCTTTCTGCTGCCCATGGCTGATGCTTCCTTCTTCCCCCAGGCTGCCCTCAATATGCTCACCAAGTGCCAGGCTCTGACCTACGGGGAAGCCGGAATCCTCTGCGTGGCACTTCATCCCGGCTGGGTGAAAACTGACATGGGCAGCCAGGAGGTGGGTTTTGGCTGAGCAGGTCGAGGAGGGGATGCCCATGGGTGGGACCCAAGCCTGCAAACTTGCAGTGGCACAGGAAGTTCCTCAGGTGGCCAAGATGGCTTTCAGGAGGAGGGATCCATGTGAGAATGAGTTGCTTCTTGGGCTTCAGGTTGCCCATGTCTGTGTTGGGCCACTGCAGAACATGTGGGTGCTGCTCATATCCAGGGTGAGCAGGAGGCCTGTTCGGGGGGAAAAAAAGGCTTTGAGCAGCCTTTAGATGTGCAGAGAATCTGAATCCAACAGAGCAGGGAGGAGAGGAGCAGGTCTATGAGATCTCCACTCACCCTGCAAGATCCCTGTGTTTGGGATGGTGCTGGTCTCTGCAACCCTGGAGTTTTGAGAAGGCTGCATGTAGCATTCTGCTTGCAGCAGGGATCTCTTACGTGGTTTGAAGGGCTTCCCAGCCCAAGCCACCTCCATCCAAGCCAGCAGTGAGCAGGCAGATACCCACCACCCTGCCATGTGACGGACCCGTCCCACCTCCCATGCTCTGTACTTGCTCTGGGTGGAAGGAGCCTTGCTGCTGACGTCCACGAGCTGATGGGAATGGTGGTGGGGTCTTGGTCCTGCTTCTCACTTGTTCCCGTTGCAGGCTGACCTGACGGTGGACACAAGCGTGCGGGGTTTGCTGTCTGTACTGCCGATCCTCTCCGAGAAGCACAGTGGGACGCTGCTCAACTGGGAAGGTAAAGCTATTCCTTGGTGACAGCTCTCTGTCCCTACGAGGGACCTCGCAGTGACGGGGGACACTGTGGGTGCCCTGGAGCACTGGGATGCTCAGCCCTCTGTGGTCTGCAAGGGACCTACTTGGGACTCCACCGGGCAACCTGTGATCCCTGCCTTCGAGCTGCTAATAAATAAAGTCAATTAGTACCTGTGCCTTCTCCCAGCTGCAGTTTCCCCACTGAGACTGTCTCTGCCCTTGGAGCTTGGGGCTGTCCCCTGTGAAAAATAAGTGTAGTACCTACAGGAGAAGGAAAGATGGGGACAAACTTTAGCAGGGCCTGTTGCGACAGGACAAGGGGAGATGGCTTTAAACTGAAAGAGGGGATATTTAGACTAGATTTCAGGAAGAACTTGTTTGCTGTGAGGGTGGTGAGAGCCTGGCCCAGGTTGCCCAGAGAAGCTGTGGCTGCCCCATCCCTGGAGGGGTTCAAGGGCAGGTTGGAGGGGGCTTGGAGCAACCTGGTCTGGTGGGAGGTGTCCCTGTCCAGGGCAGGGAGGTTGGTCTAGATGGCCTTTAAATGTCCCTTCAAACCTGAACTACTCTATGATTAGTCTGCCTGCTTTGCCTTTGGCTGCTCTGAGCCAAAGGGAGGTCCCACAGGGGGCACGTGATGGGCCCAGAGCCCTGGTGGCCTCCCTGGCCACTGAGTGTGCTCAGGTCTGCCTGGTCTCTGCCATTCTTCCACCCAAAGCACGGTGTCTTTGCTGCAGACTTCTTGGGGGGACTTTGTACGGGACACAGTGTCCCTGGGATCAGCCTCGGGGCTGGAATGGGAGGACTGATAGCACCACAGTCCAGTTCTGCAATCCCAGGCAGCCAAATTTTCCCGTAGTGGGACCCCAGCTGGGCACAGTACTCCTTGGTGGGGAAAATGTGGTCCCATCAGGGAGCACACAGCATAGGAATAGCACTTCTGCAGGATGGAGAGGCTGAGAACCTTAGTAAGATGGGCCAGGCAGCCCTGGATTCATGAATTTGCCCAGAAGGTGGTAACACCCCCAAAGAAAAGGACTTTGGGGTGGTGCTGGGTTTTCTCAGGAGGGTTCTGCCCCATCTGGAAAGAGTTTCTCCTTCTGGAGATATGTGGAAAAGGAGCAGAGGCTCCTTCAAAACCAAGCCTAGCCTCAGGTGGGCAGAGCAGCTTGGCTTGCAGGAGAGGCAAACCCACCCCTCCTTGCCTCAGAGGCCACCACCTCCTCTTTCTCATCTGGAAGATTAGCTGAAGCACCTCTGTCCTTCTGGGTCTGACCTTTTCTGGAGCTGTACCTCTCCCCTGGAGTGCGGGTTTGCCTGGCAGCACCAGCTTTGCTGGGTATCTTGAGGCCGTGCACCGTTCTGCACAGGAGCCCCCCACCGTTTCCCAACCACGACCACGAATGCCACTGTCCCCCCAACCCCAGGCTTCCCCTCCAAGGCAGACAGAGCATCGGGGCAGTCTACTGGGCTGGGGCCACGTCTCTGCCCCACCGAGGTGAGTTGTGCCCCAACAAGCTCCAACAAGCCCTGGAACCCACAGCCCATTGAGTCACAGGCTCCAGTGAGCTTTTCTTCTTCCCCAACCAGTGGTGGTTTGGTAGCTGAGACTTGTGAGAGGCTGGGAAAGGGGACAGCAGGGAGCACCTGTAACCTGGGTGCCAGTCCTGGGCTTGGGGACAGAGTGGCTGGAGGCAGCAGCGCTGCCAGATCTTGTGAGCTTGGTCCCCTGCCTCCTTGTAACCCCTTCTTGGGGGTCAAAAGCAGACCAGGTGCCCAGCCAGGGACAGGAGGAGGGGCAAGATGGTCCTGTGAAGTTCATGGGTGCTGGGAGCATCCCCAGATGGAGAAGGTGTCCCTTATTCTGCAGGCACTTTCCATAACGGTCCTTTCTGGAGCAACTTCAGGGGCTGGGGCACCTGGGTCCCACTTCTCTCCTGGACTGCTGTTCCATCCCTGGCCTGGGGCTAGTGCCAACACCCACCTGGCTGTGCCAAGCCCCCAGGCTCTTGGAGCTCGCTCCCTTCCCCATGCCCAGGCTGACCTGCACTTTCCCAAGCCTGTGCTCCACTCTCCAAGGCCCTCAGGAGACGGCGCTGCCAGCATGGCCGTGGGGAGCCAAACCCGCACGAGGCACCCACTGCTGCATGGGTGCTCCTTGGCAGGGACACACGGGCCTTGGCTGCCCCAGCTGAGAGCTGCTCCATCCTCTGGGAAGCTCTGAGCCATCTGGGCTCTTCCCAGCCACCTGATTTCCCATGCAATCGCTTGCTCATCTTTGCTCTTTTCTTTCCCAGCTCATAGCTGTGGCCAGAGGAGTCAGTGCCCGCCTGGGAACCTCCCCAGGCATCTGTCAGCACCACGATGGCAGCAGGAGGTGAGAAATCCCTTCTGAGGAACGGTTGAGGGACAGAAGCATGGGTGAAGGGTCTGATCCTGCAGCTCTACGGCTGTGCTTAGCCCAGCCCTGGCTCAGAGACACGGCCAAACCTCTACTGAGCATCTCTCCTGGCCCTTGGCAGAGGTTCTCCTGACCCAGTTGATCCACAGAAGCCAGCTGGAGCCCACCAGTCACCATGGACTGGCTCCATGGCCATCTCTCTCTCCATGTTTCTCTTTTCTGCCCTACACCACGTGCTGGATCCTGGGGGATGAGCTGTGCCAGGTATCCCACCTCTGCTTGCAGGCAGCTTACAGCCCCTCCCCATCATCAGTGCCAGCCCCATGAGATGGATGCAGATCCTCCCCTGGGAAAATGGGGAGAAATGGGACTGCTGAAAGTTGAGATGAGCTCCATCAGCTTGGCTGATGGTCTACAGTGCTGGTGACACAGGAGGGTTGCCCACCTGCTGTGGCACCAGGGTTTTGGCTGAGTTGGGGTGGCTCATAAATCCGTGAGCATCTCTCCGACCCCCTGGGAACAGTGTGGGCAGGTCACCCGGGATGTGGGTGGCTCCCTGTGCCCCAGGTGTGCCAAAGGTGCTGGGAGGAGGAACTGGGAGCTCTGCAAGTGAAGTCCACCCTGGCATTACTAGAAGCCCAGCTGCTGGGGATATGAGAACAAACCTCAAGGGGTTGCTGGATGTTGAAGCACCATCAGCCTGTAGGAAGCCCAGTGCAACCATCTCCCCTTTGGGTGCTGGGACAGCGGGCTCATCGCCGCGCAGAGCCAAGGGCAGGAGGTCAGTCCATCCCATTGTTCAAGCCATCGGGAGGTTGGGGGGGGGGATGACCCAGCTTGGACCTCCGCAACAGGAATCACCTTAAGGTGCTCCAGGGCACGTGTTCCTCAAGAAGCCTCAGTGAGACCCGGTGGGGCAGGTCTCCCTGCACAAATGTTTTCCCAAGTGGAGTTGGCTTTTCCTTTGCACAAGTTCCGGGTGTTTGTGCTCACACAGCTGATTATCTCCCCGTTTCCTCTCCTGCCTGATGTTTCCTGCCTCGGTCGCTCCCTTTTGCTGGCTTTGTCCTTTGTGTCAGGCTTATCTCCTGGCTCTGGGCAGCGTCAGACCTCGGTGTCCGCCCTGAGGGCAACACACAGCACTGAGCACCCTGCCCTGTGTCCTTTCACTGGGTGCCCCAGGAGACACCTGAGGTGCCAGCTCCACCTGGCCATCTAGCAGCTCCTTAGAGGCACAGGTGAACTGGAACAGAGCAAGGATGGTTTAGGATCCATCTGCTTTTAGCAGCTTATACATCTGTGCCAACTGGACCAGCGTGTTGCCGCAGGAGGCCACTGGGTCCAGCAGTAGGGAAATCTGGGCAACCTTCTTCACACAGGGGCTGCATGAGGGCACAGCAACACATCTGAGGACCATGGGTGGGGAGGTTGTTGCCCAGAGCAGCTCAGACTGTCCCCACCAGTCCCTGTGGAGCTACAGCAGCATCTGGGGGCAAACATCTCTGCTCTGGGGAGCCCAGCAGCTTTCCAGGCTCTTGGGATTGACTTCAGTGCTGGGAAAGGCATGTATTTTCCAGGGTCTTCCACCAGCTGCCTTCTTTCAGATCAGCAGCCATGGGCAAGGACTTGTTGCACCATGAGCTGGGGTCAGGCAGGTCTGTGGGTTAGGAACGGCGTGGGGAGGACACGGGGAGTCCTGGCAGGACTTGCCAGGATCGGGGCAAGATCCATTTTGAGAGGCAACCTCCCATGCCCAAGCGGGGCAAACGGCGGCAGGCAGAGCCCCCCTGGAAGGCAAAGCCCCTCTCCAGGAGGAGAGGGCCAAAAAAGGAGACCAGGAACGGAAAAGGGCAGCTCCCGTGATACGGATGCAGCTGGAGGTGGAGCAGGAGGCAGGTCACAAACAGCCAGCACACGAGGAAGCGCTGGGACACCAGCCAGGGCGGCCGGTTGCAGCAGCTCCAGGGGCAGCAGAACTTCACCAGCCAGGGGAAGGACTGGGAGCAAAGACAACCAGAGCTGCAGGGACCTCAGCCAGGACCTGGAGATCCCCTGGGCAGGAGCCTTCTTCCAGCCAAAACCACTCTTCATTCTGTCAAGGTGCGGGCACTACCCACGGAGGGTCGGGCCAGCAGGATGGCGATGGTGGGGACATCTCTGTGCCGGGTGGGTGGCAATGCAGTCCTGTGGCTCTGAGCCCCGGGTGACACCATTCCCAGAGCCACCAGTGGAGGGGTAGGCTGATGCTGGGAAGGCTGGATGGTCTGAGGACCCACAGCTCTCTTGGGGGTGCAGTACCGGGAGGGTGCTGGGGGCCTATCAAAGTCCCAGGACCCAGCCTGGGTGCATGAGAAACCTCAGGAGACCTCAGGAGGAAGCACGTCTCGGTCCCTGCAGCACACGGGCTGCGAGGAAGCCAAGTGGGGCCAGCAGATAGTGTGCCGAGGCTTCCTCTAGCACACACAGCTGCAGGGCCAGGCTTCTTCTAAGCTATCTGGCCCTGCAGAGCCCCGGGCATCCCTTTTCTCCCTCGGAGTTATTATTGTTAGCGGGAAGGAAGCAGCTCACCAAGTCCCACCTCGAGCTTTTAACTCGCTGCTGCCCAGCCTTCTGCTCTCTGCTCCCCTCAGCCAGAGCCGGGAAGGCTCCACAGCTGCCCTGGGCGGATGGTTGGGTACCAGAAGCATCCTACAGGCTTTGCCTTCCTGGGGACCACGGCAGGTCTCCCCCGAGCCATGTTGTCTCCCCCAGCCACCCTTGCAAAGAGAGGATGCTGGCATTGTCATCTCTCAGTGTGGAGAGGAGGTCCTGAAGGCTTTGGGTTCCAACGATTCCCTCCTTGCTCTCTCTTCTCCCTTTTAGCTGGTCCCATCCCGCCTGGTGCTTCCTCTGGAAGTCCCCTAAGTCTGCTGTGGGGCACCATGGAGGCAGCAGTGTTGCCAGCTTTGCACAGTTTTAACCCAAATACCTAATAAGGGGTTTTGAGGAAATCCATCTTGAGGAAGAAAATCGCAGCATTTCACCAGCTTCATCTGAACGAGCCAGGGTTTAATTGAACCCCAGGGTCTCTGGAGGTGCTGCCTGCTGCTCCTTGGGTAAGTGGAAATCAGGCAGACATCTCCACAATCTTCTCCAGATCACCTTCTCGTGCGACTGACCGTGGCCAAATTGTCCCCCCACTTCTTGTCTGGCAGGGAGGGGACCTTAGTGTCCTGTCAGCACAGGCTGGGGCTGTGTCCTCCCTGGTGATGAACGCCGTGGGACACCTTTCCTGAGCATCGGTGTCCATGCAGGAGCAGAGGTAGGTCACCCAGCTGCTGAGCCTGATGACGGGGGGATGCAGAGATGCTCCACGCTGCCCTGAAAATACACCGTATACGTTGACGTGTCCATCACACGTGGTGCACCCCCAGCATAAACCAGTGGCTCTCCTGGGCCACCCAGCTGGGACCCTGCCAAAAAAAAACCCAAAACCACCTTTCAGGGAGCTGTGTGTGCCACGGTGTCACCTGAATCCATCACAGGAGCGTGCAGCCATGGGTTGCAGCGAGGTGCTCGCCCTCCCTCCCACGGCTGGGCTCCTGCCCATGCCTTGGTCCTCAGAAAGGTGTGGGTCCTCCACCCAGTCCCGCTTTGAAGGGTCCTGCTGGGGGTTGGCTGCAGGTCAGCCTCTCCTTGCCCAGGCCCCCAGCACTGGCTGGGCCTGAATTTCCAGCTGTTGCAGAACGAGTTCCCGGGAGGATGCAGCAAGGGCTGGCCCCGTGCCGAGCCACCGGCGCGTCCCTCCGGTGCCATGAACATGCGTGGGGGGCTGCGGGGATGGGCTTAAGCTGCCCAGGGTATGCCATGGGCTTCCAGGGGCTTTGTTAGGCTCAGCCCCGCAGCAGGATGGGGCTCACTGGAGGGGTCATGCCCCCTGTGCATCCCCTGCTGTGTCCCTCAGTCCCCAGTATGTCACCACCGAAATGCATCTGTGCAAGCCCAGCGAGTGGCACAGGGACTTCAGGGATGTCCCTGAGACCAGCGGGTCTCCATCCTCTCTAGCCCCATGGCTTATGCCCCAGCCTTTGCTGGGGACACGGAGTGACATGGCCGGGATGTCCCAGCCCTGCTTCCCTGGAGCATCCTCCCCTCCTTATTGGCTCCAGTGAGAGGACAGGCCCCCGGAGATGGCAAGAACAAGGATCCAAGCTCATTTCCATGAGCTCTCTCCCCAGTGTCCCTCTGCTCAGAGCCAGGGAAGTGACGCTGGGGAGGAACTTGGCTCCTCTTGTTTGTTATTACAGGATAAAGTTACCCTTTAAAGCAGAGCCAGTGCTGTCAGGGCTGCATACCATGAGGGAACATCGCTCCTTCCCAATGGCTCCAACACGCTTCTTGTTACCGTCCTCCTGTGGAGCCAGCCCCCTCCCAGCCCTGGGCACAGCGAGGGGGGACGCGCACTTGGAGGGGGGGGACAGGATCCAAAAAGGAGCCTCAAGGCTCTTTACCCACCCTGGGAAAGCTGGAAGCAAAGGGAAAAGGCTTCTCTCCGGAGAGGAAGAGCTCTCCTGGCTCTGGGGTGTGTGGGGGTGAGGGAGCAGAAGGCAAGGGCTGGGAGCAATGGAAGGGCAGGGATGAGGCCAGGGGGCACTGGGGGTGTCTGATACCCCCTCGCCCCCTGCAAGAAGGGCCAGGGATGCTCCCCTCACTGCAGCTTGGCTGGGGACCCCCTTGAGGGGACAGATGGCTGGTTGTCACTGGGGAAACTCCTGTGCGTGGCAGGGTGGTGGTGTGGGGCTGGCACCCATCTCGCTGCCACCCCACAAACCCAGCACCAGCTCGGCATCTCCGGGTGATGTGCAGGCAGAAAGAGGGCTGCCTTCTCCTTCCAGCCGCAGCCTCTGTCCCCCCCAAATCCAGGAGCACCCCTCTCCCGGGATCTGACACCCCAGGAGACATCCCAGCACCCCAAGACTTTGCAGACGTTGGGGTTCCTCAGCACCGTCCTGGCCATCCCACCCTAGACCCTCCGGAGGGGACTCTGCAGGGGGATGGGGCGCCTGCTTAGGGGGCTTGACCCCCTGCTTCCTGCGCTGAGCCATGACGTGCCTGTGGGGCGGAGGGAGAGGAAGCTGCTCTGGTGGAGCCGAGCCAAGGAGAGCTTCCTGACAGCGAGCTCCAGCCTCCCAGCGCCGTCCCCACCACTTGCAGATGGCTCTGAGCAGGATGGAAAGCCACCGCCAGCCCTTTCCAGCCCTTCCCCAGCCTTGTGCCCGGCCAGTCAGGAGGCAAACGCCAACCGGGTGACGCGGCACCGCGGCCCTGACGCTGCCGGGTGTCGGAGGGGAGCCTGACTCATCCCCCGCAGGAGAATATGGAGCCGGCAGCTGTAAACAGAGCTGGCCCCCGGCGGGCCAGGGCATGTGATATCTAAAGGAGAGAGCGGCTGGAGCCGCAGCCCCCGGGGCTGGTGGCATCCACACATGTGCTAGAGGCATGTGAGAGGGGGCTTGGCCTCGGAGAGCCAGCATCGGTCTGCTCCCGCCCCGTCCTAAGGCTCAGGGGAGCATCACTTGGGTGGAGAGGACATGACTACTGGTATGGCCCCCTGCCTCCTCTGCTACCCCTGCCTCACTGGTGCCTTTTAGCAACCAGTTTTACCCCTGTTCTGCTTGTTTGGCTGCCACCGCTTTCCCCCCTTCCCAGAGGGGACAGCTTTGGACCAGCAGAAGGGGTGCAGGATGAGGGCAAAGCTCCTGAGATGCCATCTTGTGGTGCCAGCTTCAGGAGCAGAGCTCAGCTCGCAGCGCCAGGAGGTCTCCCTGCGTCTTCTCCTCCCCAGGGATAGACCGAGCATGGAAGTGTCAGGCTTGGGAGCAGGGATGGCTCAGAAACCTCTGGGTTGTCCGATGTGCTCTCCAGCACGTGATTTCCCCTTGGGTTTATCTGTGCCTTGCTGTGGATCCGGGCTGGGAGAGCTGGAGGCCGGCGGGGACAGGAGATGATGACAGCCATTTCCTACCCTTGCTTACCCCGGGCAGCCGCTTTCATTTCCTTAATCCCCATCCCTGTATTTTCTTTGTTGTTTTCTCTGGAGGGGAGGGATCCTTTGTGAAGGCTGGTTGGTCTCGCTGCAGGGGGTGCTTTCTCCTTCTGGGAGACCAACCCGGCTGCCCCTGCAGGGACCAGCTCTCCATTTTTGGGTGCAGCGGGTGCTGCTCAACAATGGGACGGGGACCCCACCTCAGTGGTGCCCATGGGGCGGATCCGGGTACACGTGGGGTCCCCCGCACCGCTCAGGGAGGACCATATTTGCATACATTTGCAAACAGCCCTGCCAAATTTGCAAATTCAGCCCCCGCCAGGGCACCTCGTGCTCCGAGTCGCGTTTTCCTCTTGCGTCCCCTACGGCACCAGCATTCCTGGCCCAGGCCAGCTCCGGGGTGAAGTATTCCTGCCGCAGCCCGTGGGCACGGTGCCACATCCCCAGGATGCTGATGCCGCACTGTGGTCCGGCCCTGCCAGCCTCCCGGCTGCTGGCCATGTGGTCCGGGCTGGGCTGGCCCCTGGGCTTGCCCATGACCTCAGCTTTCCTGCCCGGTGTCAGATGGTTCCCGAGGGGCTGCAGGAATGGTGTGAATCATGAATATTTTGGGAGTGATTCCTCCGGGGTGTGCGTGAGATCGTTCCTACCGTGCCGAGTTGGGGATGGATGGCTGATTGCCCAGGATTGATGTGGTCCCAGGGGATGTTCAGCCCCTCAGGCTGAGCCAGGGTCAGGGTTGGAGATGTTGCCTGCCACCTTCCCAGGGTGGAGATAGGAGAGGGGACAGCTGGCTGGTGGCTGGAGAGCCTGGACTAGCCCATGGTGCCCGTCTGCAGCTCCTTCCCCTCCTTGGCCCGTCAGCTGGAGCTGATGCAGCTGCAGTCTGGATGTTCTGGCTTTGCTGCAACGCCCAGGCTGAGGTGCTGCCTGGCAGCCAGAGAGTCTGGGCGAGCTGACCCGCACCCAGAGCTGGCCAATGCCAAGCAGGTCCGTGGCCACCGTAGGGATGTCCTCGCCTCCCTTCTCCTGGCCCCACGGGCTGGCAAAGTGCTGGGACAGGCAAGTTTTGCCCCACGGGGAGGGATGGGATGGGTCGGGTCAGGGCCGTGTCCCAGGCTGCGTGGTGGGGAATGGTTTCCAGCAGGGCTCGGAGGACCTGCTGGCACAGCCCTTCCCTGCTGCCGGCCAGTTCCCGAGCGCGGCCGGGGCCCTGGTGAGTCAGCTGGAACAGTGATTCCCGTTGCTCACACTGTAACCGGCACCACCCCCAGCTCCTTTAGCTTTTTCTTGGGTTTGTGTTCCCCAAAAATGCGCACCTTGGAGGGATGAGGAGCCCAGTGCCGGGATGGTGGGATGCTCAGCTCCCAGCCCGCGGCTGCTCTCGGAGGTGACGGCCGGGCTCAGAGCGTGCTCGGCACACCACGGCTGTGGCAGCACAAGGTTTTAGGAGTCCTGAAGGTCTGGCCTGAGCTTACTGTCTTGCTCCAATGCTGAGCAGGAATGCTGAGCACGCAGCAGCTCCAGGACAGCCGTGGAGGGGAGAGGCAGGCCTGGAGCCAAGAGCTGGCCTCCTGCCTTCTGGAGAGAGGGAAGAGGGAGACGTGGCTCCAGGCCCAGCCCGCAGCCAGAAAAGCCATTTGGGCAGAGGGGTTTTGATGAAGGCTCAGACCTTCCTCCGCGCGGGGGTGGGCAGGAGCAGGCAGCTGGCACAGCTGGAGCTGCCGGGGAGGGGGATGGAATGTGCTTAGGGTGGTCCTGGGTCACCAAGCAAGCTGCCATCCTCTGCTGGGGGATGCCCACCGGTGCTCAGACAGGGGGCTTGTACGCCCAGGGACTCCTGCCTGCACCAGCACCCCCATTCCCAGCGCTGGCAGGGGCTGCCAGGAAGCCTCCTTCGGTGGCCTGGCTCCAGGAGTATCCCTGTCCACGCTGGGAAGCTTAATCCCGCCTGGCGCTGGGCATCATCCTGCCCTAAAAACCAGGATGGGGGGGTCTTGGGGAGCAGGCAGGGGGAGTGCTGGGAGGACTGGGGAGCTGAGCCTGCCCTTCTTGCTTTTGTTTGCAAAGCTGGCCCGTGCTAAGCAAGCTCCCCGTGGCCTAGAATAGCCATCGCGGCGTGCCAGCCCCAGCCTTGGCAGCGGGAGTGTTTGGCTCGACAGACCCGCTCTGGCAGGGCAGGCCGGCGTGTGGCCGAGGGCAGGGGAGCTGCAGGCAGCCCTCTCGGCCCTGACCCCCCCCGCGGCCCCCCTGTCCCAAGAGCTGCTGGGGGGGTG